GATGTTACAGTAGGCGGGAGCGAGGGTTTGATGACTAAGACTCTACTCTGTATAAATACAACATCTACAACCCCAACCAGCAGCACAGTTCAGACAGGCAGCAACAGGGACCAACTTCCAAAACACAGAAGACATCACTGAAGTGGAAACTTTGCCGATCTTCTGAGATTTTTTTTCTTTTGACTTTGGTTCACACTTGACTATCTGTCTTTGAAGTTAGTTTTAGCATTTTTGTTGCATTTTGTGCCGCAGCAGAGCTCGCCATGAGGTGCTGTGCGTTAGTGGTGTGTTTACTTTTGGGAATAGGCGTGCAGAACGGATGGAGCCGTCCTGTCAAGTCGGTCCTTGTCACCTCCCCAGGGAACATCGTCAAAAAGGTGGCAGATGTGGAGCTGGCACAAGTGAGTAGCAGATGGCAGTGTTGTGGTCAAGATCACCTAACCCGAGACCAAGACAAGACCAAGACCGAGGGATGTCAAGACTGGGTCAAGATCAAAACCAGCCCCCCACGCTACATGACACTATAAAATGTGAAATATGATCAAAATTGCTTCTCAAATTGATCTGAAAGATCCATATTTCCATAAAAAGACCTAGATATTAAATACTTCATGGATTTTACCAACATCAAATGGAGAACAAACTCTTTGTTCTACTTTGCTTCCATCTCTGTGCTACAAATCTGCAATAGTCTCGTGCCATCCCTAAAAAGATAACGCCCAAACATTTTCTGTGCCCCTCCTATTACTGATGATTAGACAGACATATTCTACTGCTCAGAGAAAACCACTGCACATGTCTCAGAGCGCCGCGTGCAAGTGAAGAGTGGGGAGTGGAGGGAGAGTAACAGAAACACATCATTGCTTGGATTTTAATCGGTGCGTTTTGCGTCCACTGAAAACAAAGATGTTAACAAATAAGCTGGACACTATGCTGTACGTTTAGTGATATTTTCACAGTTGCAGTTTTGATGTCTTGAAATTAAATCCCGAATGCTCAGCGCCCGAGACCAAGACAAGACTGAGACCAGCAAAAAATGGTCGTGAGACCAAGACCGATCTCAAGTGCTACAACTCTGGCAGATAGTTTATTCTTCTTTTCATAGTCTGAGACTCCCAGAATTGAGTTTTAATAAAGTTGTTTGGGGAAAACAAATTACCTGAATAGAGACTGATATCACAATGTTAATGGAAATATTTACTCTCTAAATTAAAGCTACAGACGTCTTTTATGAAAACAATTTATAAATGTGTGACATTACACAAATTGAGAATGGGAGTGTTTGGCTGAGCTCTGGTGTGTTTTGTCTCTTGTTTGACAGAGTTATCTGAAAAAGTTTGGTTACATGGGGACGGAGCAGCACGGTGGCTTCAAGTCCAAGGTGTCCATAGGAAAGGCTCTGAAGATGATGCAGAGACAGATGGGTTTGAAGGAGACTGGAAACCTGGACAAGCCGACACTGAAGGCCATGAAGCGACCTCGCTGTGGTGTTCCTGATGTGGCCAATTACCTCGTAGCTGGCGGGATACACAAATGGGACCATAACAATATTACATACAGGTGAGTGGAAGGAAGAAATACTATGTGTCATTACATTAATGATTACAGAGTGAGATTTTTTATTCTACCAAATATGTTCTAGTTATATAAAAAAAACGTTTGCTTGGTAATAAATTGGTTTTTAAGGCAGGGTTTCAGTTTTGTTAAAAGCACTTTATACAAAATAACAAATCATAGATGTTCAGATGGCATTGGTTCATGCTATGGCATGCAAAGGGAAGTTTAAATAATGATAACTGAAATTGCTGGAAAACATGCAAATCAAGAGAAAAATAAAAACTGACATACTTCCCTGTGCCTCGTGCGATTTCACCAGAAATATTTTTGCCTTGGTAGGTTACATCTTTAATAAAAACCATTTCACAGCCTAAAATCAGAAGCAAATTATATCATGACATGTTGTGCTACACACACAACTATAGTTTCAGAAAACTCTCTCTTGTAGCTTGTGGTGGAAAATTACTATAAGTTAAAATCTGTTATATGAAATGCTTGCAAACTCTCACCAGAATAACTATTTGGGTTACATGTACAAGGTTGGAAGTTGTTTCCCACAGCTGCATGAGAACCAGACTGTCTCACCCATTTGTTTTGAATTCCTTATCCTTGATATAAAACTCATGTGTTGACTCTGCCAGGCAGAGCTTTCCATCCAGAACTGCTTCATTATTGATTGTCCCACAAACTCTCTGTATGGTGCACAATATATGAATAAACCTGATTGAGTGATTTCACCTGAATAGTGTTAGGGAATACTTTTTTTCATAACAATTTGGTGCCGTGACCCGGATCCCTTGACTGGACATCCGAGGACATTGACGAACAGCGTTTTGGTACCGACCTGGACTAAAAGTGTTGATTAGTTTCCATCAGACTAGATCACATAGTTATTTTGAGTTCACTGTGTCTTCAGGATCCTGAACTATTCTCCCGACATGGACAGCAATGTGACTGATGATGTCTTTGCAAGAGCATTCAGGGTGTGGAGTGATGTCACTCCTCTGACATTTACCCGCCTTCTTCAAGGCGATGCAGACATCATGATCTCCTTTGAAACAGGTGGTATGTGCTCTTTTTTACATTTCTAAGTCAAACATTTGCACTCTAACAAATTAAGAAGCTGAATTCTAAAAATCAAACATTGATGAGCTGCTTCGTGTTCTTTTTAGACCACGGGGATCAATTTCCCTTTGATGGTAAGCGTGGCCTTCTAGCTCATGCCTTTCGTCCAGGTGTGGGCATTCTGGGGGACGCCCACTTTGATGATGACGAAGACTGGACTCTAGGAAAAGGAAATGGTAACTACACCTCAGAAATCACGTGCTTCAACCTTCTTCCATCCTCTGGTGTTCTTTCCTTTAACACAT